CTGGCCTCCGGCGATCCTTCCACCTCAGCCTTCCAAGTAGATGGAACTACATGCATGCGCTGCCACGCCCGGCTAATTTTTTATTTATTGTAGAGATGCGGTCTTGCGAAGTTGCTCGGACCTGCAGGCTCAGGCAATCCACTCACTTCAGTCTCCCAAGGCGCAGGATTACAGGCTGAGCCACCGAGCCCAGCTCAAAAATAAAATAAAATAAAATAAAAGTTAGTATTTGATGACCTGTTTTTCTCTGTGAAGTAGGAGATGAGGTCATCTTGTGATAGAAAAAGAGGTGATATTGGGAGTATTAAGGAAAGTTGAGATTTGGAATACTGTAGTAGAAAGTAATAGAACAAATTGACAAATTGAACAGAGAAAAGTAGTAGACTGCTAAGCAATATAGAGGGCCTGCTTAAGACTGATAAAAATCAACTCACCAGTTTCTGTCTGCCTATGTAGCTTTCTCAAGCAGTAATCACTTCTTGAGGGCAGAGATGAAGAAAACGTATGGTTGAGTACATTTATGGTTAGGATGGTCATTGATATAATTCTGCAGTTCTCAAACAAGGACAATTTTGCCATTCAGAGGACATTTGGCAATGTCTGGAGATGTTTTTGATTACTGGATGACAGGGAGATGAAAGTGGGTACTACTGACATCTAGTGTCCAGGGACACTGCTAAACATTTACAATGCACAGGACAGCCCCTAACAACAAAGTTATTTGTTCCAAACTGGGCGTGGTGACTCACGCCTATAATCCCAGCACTTTGAGAGGTTGAGGCAATAGGATTGCCTGAGCCCACGGGTTTGAGACCCACCTGGGCAACATGGAGAGAACTTGTCTCTACAACAAATAAAAAAAATTAACCAGGCATGGTGGCACACGCCTGTAGTTCCAGCTACTTGGAAATCTGAAGCAGAAGGATCACCTGAATCCAGCAGGTTGAGGCTGCAGTGGTGGTAAACGTTTGAGACTTCAACTCAAAAAAAAAAAAAAAAAAAAAAAGTATTGCTGGGCTTGGTGGCTCAGCCTGTAATCGCGCGCCTTTGGGAGGCTGAGGTGAGTGGACTGCCTGAGCCTGCAGGTTCAAGACCCGCCTGGCAGCAAGACCTCATCTCTACAGTAAATCAAAAAATCAGCCAGGCGGGGTAGCACATGCCTGTAATTCCGGCTACATGGAAGGCTGAGGCGGAAGGATCGCCGGAGCCCAGCAGGTTGAGGCTGCGGTGGCCGGGAGCGGCCATTGCACTCCAGTCTGGGCGACAGAGTGAGACTCCAACTCAAAAAAAAAAAAAGTATCTTTCAAAATTTCAGTAGTCCCAAGGCTGAGAAACCCTGATCTAGGGTTACCTTGGTGCTTACCAATATCTGTTCATGGTCTTCTACACGTACTTCCTTGGACTATGACCCTTAGCTTATAGGGTAAAGCAGTTCTTCCATTGCATGCAGTTGAAGGAGTGTAGAATAAGCATCATACTGAGAACTTGAGTGTTTTAAGGACTTGTGATGTCACAAATACAGAATTGGAAGAGTTTCCTAAACCTCTAGAAGGGTTTTAGAAGCAAATCTTACCTGCATGATCAACGTTTGTATACCTAACTCTGAATCGTACCCCACATCTTTATAACTTAAAAAAAAGAAAATCAGCCGGGCTCAGTGGCTCAGCCTGTAATCGCACGCCTTGGGAGGCTGAGGTGAGTGGATTGCCTTAGCCTGAGGGTTCGAGACCGGCCTGGGCAACTTGGCGAGACATCATCTCTACAATAAATAAAAAAATCAGCCAGGCATGGTAGCGCATGCCTGTAATTTCGGCTACTCGGAAGGCTAAGGCAGAAGGATCGCAGGAGCCAGCAGGTCGAGGCTGCAGTGGCCGGGATTGGCCACTGCACTCCAGTCTGGGCAACAGGGTGAGACACCAACTCAAAAAAAAAAAAAAACTAGCTGAATGTGGTGGCACACACCCATAATCCCAGCTACTTGGGAGGCTGAGGTGGGAGAATTGCTTGAGCCTAGAAGTTCAAGGCTGCAGTGAGCTATGATCGTGCCACTGCACCCTAGCGTGAGCTACAGAGCAACATCCTGTCTCTAGAAAATAATAGATGTCAATCCAAAAAATATCAATTAGTTTCATGTATATCTATAAGCAACATTTCAAAATTTCACTTCAAAGCTTAACTAAAATAACACATTTAAGCAACAAAAAAAGAAGCAAATCTGGATTTACACATAGATGAATGTAGCCGCTTACTTTTATTTGAGGCACTGAAGGTTTTCTTAAACAGAGATATTATAATTTCAATAACATAAGAGGAGAATTACTTCATATCCTTTTTTTTTTTTGAGTCAGAGTCTCACTGTCACCGAGGCTGGAGTGCAGTGGCATACTCTCAGCCACTGCAACCTCAACGTACTGGGCTCAAGCAGTCCTTCCTCCTCAGCCTTCCAAGTAGCTGGAACTATAGGCGTGGGCCACCACGCCTGGCTAATTTTTCTTTATTTATTGTAGAGACAATGTCTTGCCAGATTGCCCTGTCTGGTTTCCAACCCATGGGCTCAGATAATCCTCTAGTCCCCGCCTCCCAAAGTCCTGGGATTACAGGCCTGAGCCACCACGCCCGGCTTTCATATCATTATTTTTAGTGTAATTTTATTTATCTGTCTTATCTTAGTCACTAAAATAGGGATGGGTATGGGCTAAGTATAATAAGTATAGATACTTTAGGTATGAGTAAGAACATAATCACCGGTATTGATCAAATGTATGCTCTGTCATAGGCACCTTTTTTCTTTTTCTTTTTTTGTTTTTTGTTTTTGTTTGAGTTGGAGTTTCACTCGGTGGCCCAGACTGGAGTGCAGTGGCCGCTCCCGGCCACAGCAGCCTCGCCTGGTGGGCTCCGACGATCCTTCCGCCTTATCCTTCCGAGTAGCCGGAATTACAGGCATGGGCTACCACGC